AGATACAGTGAAATCCTCAAGCTGCCCTGTCTGCATCCATCTGGTCTCTGAGTTCTGAATGAGTATCCTCCAGGGAGGGCGGCAGAGACCAGGCCCCCCCAGAGTGAGGGTAGAGCTGGATGGGCAGACTCCAAGATGGAGAAGACGCTGCCCAGTGATCCCTGCTGAGTCCCCAGGGAGGCTCTGAGGAGCCCCCCTCCCCATCAGCTGGCTGCCTCCTCCAGCGTCTTCCTTCCTCATCCGCCTGCCGAGCCCTGGCGGCCCCACTGGGCCAGCTGGAGGCTTTACCCTGACCACATCTGAAACAGCTCAGGAGCTGCTGTGCCTGGCCGCCAGCCTTTTCCATAAATAACTTGCTGGGCCTGGCTTCTAGCCTTCCTGGTGATGTCATTGGCTGTTGGCCCAACTGGTGAGGTCACAGGCTTCCCTTCCCTCCGTGCTCCCTCCCAGGTGGACCACGAGAGCCTCATCGCAGAGCCTGTCTACACCCCATCCTGTTCCATCCCAGCCAGGCAGTTGATGTAGGTCCTTCACCATCTGTGACCTGCTGCTCGGTGGTGCCAGGCGGCAGCCTTTCCCCCTCCTTGTTGCCAGTTACTGACTTTCCATCTCCCTGCTGGCTTCTCCCCTTGTCATGATGTAGTTTCCAGGTGACAGCAGACTCGTGAGTTACGAGGGCTGTGGTGAATAGCTGGCACCTCCATGGGAGCCTGACCCAGGTCCAAGTCCTGGCCACCCCACCCACAAGCTGTGTGACTTCTGACAAGTTGCTTAAGCTCTCTGTAGCTCTGTTTTCTCAGGACCTATCTCAAGGGTTGTTGGCGAGGCTTACATGGGCTCATGCATATAAAACACAGTGCATTAGTACATGGTGAATAAACTGACTCTGTGATCACATTTCCATGTGCATAGATGACAGGCAGTGCCTGTATGTGTCGGGGAGAGGGGAGCTCTAGCTTTGTGTATTTCATATGTGATGGGCAGAAGCATGGGTGGTCTCCTCGCCATGGCTCTCACTTCCCCCACAGTCACCAAAGCTGCCGCTTTCCCAGCTGGAACGCTCCCAGTCTCCTCGCTCTATGCCAATGGGGCTCATTCCAAAAATCTTCGCCTTAGTGCTAGAAGAGGGGAGAAGGGGGGTGTTAGACACACTTCAGGAGCTGCTTCTGTAGAGGGTTCTCTGAGGCCCCCATCCCCACCTCACCCTGCAGTCACCTCAGCAGGAGGAACTGGCTCTCTCCCTGGTCACTGCGTGAGTAATCAACAGGAACCGATACCCTAAGACACACCTTGACCAGCCAAGAAGCCCTTGGCCATTGTCTCCAGATGTGCGTGTTTGGAGAACACACTGAGGTGGCCATGGGGAGATGGGCCATCTCTGGATCCGAGAGTGGAATAGAAAATGTGATTTTCTATTCCAGTCCTGTCGGATACAGGAGCCATAAGCCACCGCAGCTCTTGAGTGCTTGACACTGGGCTAGTGATACGCTCTAAGTGTAAATTACACACCAGATTTCAATCGCTTAGTATAAAAAAGAGAATGCAAACTATCTTATGAATAATTCCTTTAGAGTTATTACATGTTGAAATGATAGTATTTTACATATATTGGGTTAAATAAAATAGGCTTTTAAAATTAACCTCGCCTATTTTATCTTTTTTGATTGTTGTTTTGTTTTTTTTACTTTTTCAATGTGGCTACCAGAAAATTTAAAACTATATATGTGGCTTGCATTATATTTCTATTGGACAGAGCTGGTCTATGGTCTTACTGAGTTCTGAAAAATATCCATTGTTCTCCCCACCTGGTGGTTCTGACTTGGTTAGTTTGTGCTTCGGAAGCTGCGGGCTGCTACCTTCAGCTAAAATACACCCCCTCACCGCCCCCCTACACACACATTCACATTCAATGTTCCCAGTGGACAGGGCAGCTGAGCAGGTATTCTTGCCTGGCTTTCTCCCCATGTGTGGTCTCTGCCTGCCCACCGCCCACTACCCTGAGCTCAGCCTTGCATATACTTAAGGGAGGACTCCCCAAAGTTGGCCAGTCTCCAGTGTCAGGTGGCCCCTTCTAGTTTTGCTGTCACACCTCCATGATCCTTCTCATTCGGAAGCCCGTGTCTATGAGTTTTCCCCTCTTCTCCACTCACGTAGGACTTCTTCATCCTTTAAAATCTAGCTCAGGAGTCACCTCCTCCATGAAGACTTCCCAGACCTCTTCAATGAACAGATAGGCCATCGTGGCACTTTGCCCCAGGTTCAAACTATGGATCAGAATGTGCCCCAATACAATGCACTACGTACCAGGCCGTTTCTACTAATATAAATCCTCAGAACAATCCTAGGAGGTAGCTACCCTGACTACGCCTATTTCCTATATGAGAAACTGAGACACAGAGATTAAGAATCTTGCCCAAGATTGCAGAGTTAACAGGAGACGCAGCAGAATTCCAACCTAAGTGGCCCGGGTCCCTGGCCGTGCCCTTTCTGCCATGCCTGTGGCCCCCATCACAGCTAGTACAAGTCCTGGTACCTCCAAAGCACAAGAAAGCCTTGAGAGACAGGACCCCAGCTTCTCCATCACTGTCATCCCCCTGGCATCAAGCCAGGTCCTGACACACAGTAGGTGCTCAGTAAATGTGGCCTGAATGAGATCACCATCGAGTTATGGACTCTTTAAAGCCCTCTCCTGACTGTGCTTTGAAATCAGAGTCTGGTGCCCACACCTTCCAGGCAGCTGCGTCCGCCCCTCCCTCCACCCCTCTCCACTCTGTTTCTCCCTGGCCTCCCCAGGGTCCTCTCTGCGCCTGTTTAAAACTCAGCTACTGTTGTGCGACCTCTGCCAATCGGGAATTAATTCCCCCAGTTACAACTGCATAAAAACCAAACTCCCTTTTTATGGTCTCTCCACGTTTGCCCTTTCCTTTTATGCAGGTCCCTCTGCACTTCTGGGGAATAAATAAATACCGTGTAACTTGAATCAGCCTCAATCAGCTGTAGCTCTCAGGGCTCTGTCTGGAGCCCCCTAGAACCCCAGCCTCAGTCGGGGGTCAGGAGGTGAGGGACCAGGACCACTCTGTGCACCCGAGCCTGAAGCTCTCTGCTCCAGGCTCTCTGGGTCTTCACCAACCAGGCATGGGTCCCTTCGTGGTCCTCAGCCGCCCCCGCCTGCCACAAGCTCCCCTGAGAAATGGCTGTGGCCTGCACCCCGTCCTCAAATCTTTCTAAGAAACTGCTCGACTGGGATGCAGTTAGCAGCAACTGGAAGGAATGTTCCAGACATTTCAGGAGTCACACCCCAGTGCTGACAGAGGCGCAGGGTCTGTGGCTGCCCTGGGGAAGTGAGGTGCCCCTCCCCAGTCAATTCCTGCACTGGCTCCGTCTTGCCCCTACCTGGACTTGATGCCTTACCGGCTTCCTTGGAAACAAAGGCCTGGAGTCCCTGACGATCTTTTCATCGGGAAGAAGACAGGGAACTCACTGTTTTCCTGGTTCCCATGGAAAGATCCATGTGGGGGTCAAGTCGATACTCTGTTGGGATGGGGGATGGAAACAGTCCTGGCAACCACATTTCACAAAGAAATGTCCCTGTCGACAGTTGTCTTTAAGAAAGAAAAAATTCTCTATGTAGTAAATGATGACTGACACCCAAAATGAAGTGCCTCTTTCCCCTTCCTTTCTAGCTTTCTTATGTCTGAGTCCCAAGGCCGACAGCCGCTGTGATCGGTTGCCTCATGTATACACCTACCTCCACCTGGACCAGTAAGGAACGCTTTGGTTTTCTGTCCCAACCCTCAGACCTAGGAATTTCTTCCCGCCTCCAGCCCAGAGCCCTTGCGCTGCTGCCTCGCTGCCTTGGCTGGATCTAATCACTGCCTGGGGACAAATGATCATTTCCTTGCGTGGGAATTGTGGGGAGAAGGTATTTTGGAGGGTGGACCCTGGATCGGGGTGCCAGCAAGTAGAATTACAGGATGCCTAGTTCAATTAAACAGCAAAACTAAACAACGAATCGGTTTTTGGTATAAGTATGTCCCGTGCAATAATTGGGACGTAATTACACTGAAAATTTTCCATTGTTTATCTGAAACTCCAGTGTATCGGGGCATCCTGTTGTAGTTCTGGCAATCCTAGCCCTAGGCTGCAACTCAGGCTTGCAGGAGTGTGTGTGTATATGTGTGTGTGTGTGTGTGTGTGTGTGTGTGTGTGTGTGTTCGGACTGTCTGCCTATGGAGGAGGGTTGAGCCCATAATGATTCCCACCTGTGACTCTGTGACGTCTTCACAGGAAGACAGGTGAGCTTCATGCTCCTGGATAGGCAGTTCAGGACGGTCCAGCTCTGCCCTCCCAACGGAAGGACAAAGGCCCCTCTCCTTGTGGCCTCCAGAGCTCCCAAGCCGTTCCTCGCTCACGCTTGCTGATGTAGAGCCTTCCCACCACCCCCACCCCCACCCTGAATCCACTCTCTGTTTTCAGGGGCCTTTGTGGGCTCAGAGCTCCTGTTATGACTTAGTTGCCATGTGTGTGTTTGGCTCCAGGGTGGATGGCTTTGGGCCCAGTTGGTCACTGTCAAGCACGCCTTTGAAATCCACTCGGCTAGCTCAGCAGCCGCTGCTGCTCTCAGCTCTGCTCGGCAGAGAAACGCGCTGTTCGGGTGTTTCTATATCTGGGCCTTCCCAAACACAACACCCCCGTCCCACTCCTCCCCACCCGCCACAAAAAAAGTTCCTGGAGATGGAAGCAGCTATATCCGAGATAATTGCTTAATTAGGGGAAAATTACTTAAATTTCAGCAGCAGCAGCAGCAGCAGCAGCAGCCAGTGTGCCATTCTGACTACAAAAGCCTCTAAAACCCAGCTCCCTTAGAAAGGAGATCACTGCCCACTCAACACCCACTCTGTCTTCTCTAGGAGTACGGAAGGGAGAACCAGCTCGGCATGTCACCAGCGTGGTTGGAGGCCCTTTTGCACACACACTCGAGCACGCGCACACACCTACGCGCACGTCACCCTCTGCACCATCTTCAGCTGAGCTCTGCAGACACTGGCAAACCTGTGGTTTCCTCAAAGGCCAGGGTCGACACTTCTCGGTAAAGGGCCAGAGAGTTAATACTGCAGGCATCACGGGCCGTGTGGACTCTGTGGCAATGACGCAGGCTGGCCCATGGAGCGTGAAAGCAGACATACGAGCAGACAACAGGTAAATGAACCGGCATAGGTGTATTCCAGTACGACTTCATAAAATCAGGTAGCAGAGCTGATTTGGCCCGTGGACCAGTTTGCTGACCCCCATCAAAGGCTAACCGTTGGGGTGTGCAGCTGGTGGGACTGGCTTAGGTGGTTCTTGATGCAATGGGAGTGAGGAATTCTTCAAGCAGCCCACACCCATCACCGACCCAGGAAGCTCTGAGTAATGATTGTGCTCAGCTGCTAGGCTGGCAGAGTTACAAACACAGGCTTTGAGGAGGGACAGCCCTGGCCTCAAGTTTTGTGATCTTGAGCCAGATGCTAAGCTCTCCGAGTTTCCATATCTCTTCTCCAGGTTGAGAATAATCACTCCTCCCTCCCAGGGTCACAGTGACGATAAATGGGACGGCATGTGTGAAGCTGTGTTTGGTCTGTAGTAAGTGCTCAGTGATGGCAGCTCCTAGGAGTGGTGATAGAGTGAGCTTTGGTCTTCGTGTTTGGGCTCTCAGGAAGAGTCCTTGCAGGAAGGATTTAGGATTTTTGTCCTCTCTTTGTCTCAAACTTGTCACAATCTATCTTTTCTTTTCATTGTGCTTCCGGGGGACCACTGAGCTCTCCTGGAGAGAACAGAAAGATACAGAGTGGGCTCTGCTGGCTGGTAGCCTCTCTGGCCTCCCCGCTGCCCCCCGCAGAGGCAGGAGCTGGCCTGGGTGAGCTGACTGCTGCCTCCTAACGGCTGCCCTTGCCTTGCTGGCCTGCCGGGTCAGCCCCATGCCTGCAATGGGTCTTGTCCTGGCAGGAAAAGGCTGCCCACCAGGGGCGCTGGAGAGCAAACACCTGGGTCCCTCGCCTCACAGCACCCACATCCTCGGAACCCAAACAGCCTCCTCTTCAGTTGTTTCGGGCTGGGGAGAAGAAACCTCAGCCTGAAAGGAGCAGTCAGTGAATGTCATTGGGCTTTAGAGCCCAGATGTCCCTGCTAATGTTGGTACCAGGAGAGAGAGAGTGCATGCCTATGGAAGAGTCGGCTGCTAAATGCGGGGCAGACGTGGCAACCTGGGGTGGGGAGGGAACAGAAATCCCAACAGTGGCAATGAGCAGGAGAGTGACGCAGGACAGAGCGTGAGGGGACTTGGGACCATGGGGTCAGAAAGTGTGAAAGAGCAATTCAGGACCAGGATTGGGGGTGGGGAGGTTGAGGAGTAGCTAACGCTCAGGAATGAGTGGGTTCAGGGCACCGAGATCTTGCCACTGACCCTAGAGAGGTCACTGTGCTGCACTGAGGATGTTTCCAAGAGAACAGTTTTAACTCGAAGTGGCAGTGCTGGGAGTGAGGCGGGCAGAGCACCCGGGCATAGAGTCGCGCTCGGGCGTATTAATGTTTGGCTAACGTATACACAGACATCGGGCCTCTGGCGCGTCCATTCCAATGTGACCTGTGAGCCGTGTGCTTCAACTGGAACCAAGTGGTGGAGAATCCAGATACCAGCTTCCCTTATATCGCAGTAGAACATTTTGTGTACGTTAAATAAACTGCTGAGTAGGTCAGACTGGCAAGAACGCAATGGAGGAGGAGAGAACAGAACTGAGATCCAGGGACACTGCCGTGGGGGCAGAAGGAGCAAGCACCAGGAAGCTGGGGAGATACCTGTTAGGGCTCCCTTAGCTGACAACTCCTGGCCACATCTTCCTGGGGTCTGTTTGCTCCCACTCTCCCCCACAGTCCCCTTGCCTGTTCCTGGGCTGCTGCCAAAGCAGATGATTCTCCACCCCTCCCAGGAGGCGCCTCCTTCCTGCAGCCAATCCGGCCAGTGCCTGGGCTTTGGGGCTTTGGGGCTGGGTCCGAGCAGGGCCCGCGTTGCTGGGAAATGGTCCTGCAGTGAGGCTGTCCTTTTGGCTCCTCTCAGGCCTGGGCTGCGAATCAGGGGCCAGCAACAGGGCGCTTTCACTGGGCTGGCGCATCGCCGCACACAGTGAGTCAGACTGTCTCCCACCTGTGCTATTTCTGGGTCCGATCTGCTTGACTCACTGCCCTTGCGTAGGGCCGACCTTCCGATCCAGGCCCATCTGCAGCGGGCAACGGCCTCCCAGACCTGAGGTCTGACTGAAGGCAGGGGAGTTTAATGAGTCCCCAGCTCAGCAAGCTGCGCTGGAACTCTGACCTCAGCCTGATGTCTGGCTTCTGGCCTCGTTCCCCGGGCACAACAGCCCTGCCTCGCATCCCAGTTCCAGTTTCCTGCTCTGCGCTGCTTTGCCTTTGTCCCCCTCTGGCTTCAGCAGATCCAGCGTCAGAGTACGACGCTGCTCCCACCCCCCGCCTCTGGGCGCCGCATATCCCCTCTCCACCATGTGGGTCCGCCTGCCCACTGAGGGGTCCCTCAAGCCTGTCCCTTCATCAGCTTTCGTTTTATGACCATTTCTTTCCAACTGGTCTTGCTTCCAGCCCCTCCTCTCTCTAACACAGTGGTTCTCAAAGGGTGGTCCCAGGGCCAGCAGCGTTGCTGGGAGCTTGTCAGAGATGCTGAATGAGAAACCCCGGGGGCGGGGCCCAGAATCAGCATTTCGACAGGCCCGCTGGCGCCCACCGGTGAGGCTGTTGCACGCAAGGCCGGGGACCGCTCTGTCTAGCATATCCTTCCTGCAGCTTCCAGAGCGCTCTTTCTAAAACCCAGGCCAAGTCTTCTCATTCTGCAGCTCAGCAGCAGTGGATAACTCTCTCGTGCCTTCAGAATTAATTTTTAATTAACTTCTTAAGCACAGTGTTTGAGGCCCTTCGCCATCTGGCCAAAGTTTCCTTTCCAGCCTCCTCGCCTTCCGTTCCCTCTTGGCCCAGCCCTTTCGGCATCCAGTCACTCGTATTCCCTTTGAGGATGGAAGGTCAGGTTCAAACGTTGCCTCTGTGAAGCATTGCCCACCCTCCTCATCCTCCTGGGTTGGTGGGGGCGGGCAGGGGGGGATTAGCCACGCCCCTCAGTGCTCTGAGCCTCTTCCCTGGCAATAGTTCTAACATACTATAAATACCTGGGGACACATTGCCCTTCCCACTCACAGCAAGCTTCTGGAAGCAGGGACAATGGTCTCCTTCACATTATTGTCTCTGACGCCAAGCACCGGCCTGGGGTAGGCTAGTTGCCAATACGTATCTATTGATGACAGGAATAAATCTAACTCTTCCTAGAGTCTATCATCCCCAGCCATCCTCCAATCTCACCCAACCCACCATCTTGATCCATTACCCACCTGCCTGGGCAGTTAGGGCCTCCTGGGACTTCTGTTGATCTCTCCGACTCCTGTGGGGTCCATCTGGGTCAAGTCACTTCCAGGCCAGTCAACCTGCTGCCAAACAAGAGTTGGGAAAGGTGAGGGAGAGGGCCTCCCCGCGCACCGCTGGGCTGCTGTGAATCTGTCCCCATCATGCTGGTGGGCTGCGAGCTATATCCTTGAGATCCCTTCAAATGATAAAGTGAATCCCAATGTACGGAGGACGGCTGAGACACAAACACTCCACACCAGTGGCCTGCCCTCCTGTTACTTGAATTAAGACCAGGATAGGGTTTGTGGGGGGTATTTATTTTGCCTGTGTGGTTTTCTTTTCCACTAGATTTACCTTCCTAATTATGCCTGCTTACACCAATATTAAAATGTGTTTGTATTCCCTGAACGCACGGCAACTGATAGAATGGCAGGGCGGCCCAGAGGCAGGGCGGCCCCGAGGCTGGGCGGGAGGCTGAAAATCATGGAAATTAAACCTCTGCCTCAACCTGCCGAGCGAACAATCCCAGGTCAGTAATTAAGAGCGGTAGTAATTTTTTTCAGTGGGGCCTTAGCGATCTAATTACCTTCTAAGGGGATATGTTCAACCTGTCAACAAACTCGATCTTTAGGTGTGTTTGGCGAGCGGATAGAGCCCGGATGCGCATGGTGGGGCTCCTGCCAGCTGCTCAGGTTGAGGAGCACCAGCTCTTTGGGCCCCTCGGGGCCCGGTTCCCTCGGCGGTGCTGCCTGTTGGGACTTGGCCCAGACTCCGCTGAGCCCTGAAGCTCCTCCCAAGAGCACCCGGCCCTGGCAGCCCCTCCCACCCAGGGCCTCCTGTGTCTTTCAAACTAGAGAGTCCTCCACCTTCGCCAAAGGGGATGTCCTGTCCTCTCTCGCGATCTCCTGAAGTTCAGTTGTGTCACATTAAATCTCAGTTATGACTAAGCACACTCACGCCAGACCCAGGACGATACACAGGAAAACAGAGCGAGGCTGGGTCCCCTCTATAAGTGACAGCAGTATGCCCATCCTCAGATGTCATCTCTCCTGCCCTGGGGAGACACCCCAGGTCCCCTTCTGTGATGTGATGGAGACCAGCATGGTTCTCTCTCCCCAAACCTTGTGCTTAGGTCTCTTAGCAACCTTGACAGGCAGCCAGCCTGGCCAATCACCTGTAGCTGCTGACATCCATCTGCTTCCAGAGGCTGAAGGGAGCCTAGAAACCAAGTGCCTCCCTCCCCACCCCCACCTACCCGCTGCCTCTCAATGACACCCACCCCTTCGAGGCCCCTAAAGAGGCAAGCACAGTGACCAGACTTTCTCACCTCACCCTCTGCTCCCCACTCGAGGCCCATTCTGCGGCTTAATCTGTGACATTTAACATAAATAGTTTTCTATTCCCAGCTGACCTTTAGTGGCTTTTATCATCAGCTGTGGTTCCTGGCAGCCTTACAAGAGCTGCTGTCTGCTGCCTCAGTCCATTCCAACAGAATGCCCTGAGGAGGCCCCACGGTTTTCACCACGTGAAGCCAGGGGGCCCCCGGAGATGTCTGCCTAGACTCGAGCTTGCCACTCTCCGCCCGGAAATATCATTACGTGTTTCAATTAGGATTAGTGGGGAAGTCGGCTATTAAGTAGTTAGTTATTATGGTAAGAGAGACACTCCACATTAGCTGGAGCAGGCTGCTGTTGCCTTCCTCTAATGGACTCTTTCGAAACCCCTAATCTCTCCTGATGCTCAGCAGAAAGATAGAAATGGGAGGGTGGAGGCCAGACGAGGCAGGTAGCGCACCCCATTTCTCTCCCCTGCACCCCCACAGACACCATCCTCAGGAGGTGATGTGCTGTAGTGACGTTAACAAACCCTCCACCTGAAACCACGCGTCACATCTTCACACCTCCAGAAGCAGAAGCCAATGTCAAAACCAGCGCCCACCAAACCCCTCTCCACGCCTTTCCTCTTGTTCACAGATCGGTGCATGGTCATCACAGAGGGTCTTACAGGACTCCTGCTGCAGAGGCTTGGGTTTGGGCAAAGGCCTCGCAGATGCTGAGGAGTGCCAGAGGCCCCAGGCTAGAGGACAGGGGAGCCAGACTCGGGTCTCATCCTTCCAGGTGAGCTTGGGCAAGTCACGGGGCTTCTCAGACTCCTGGCCTCTCCCTGTGTAACGAAAGTTTAGGTCAGGCGTTTTTTTACCTTTCCCCTGCTCCAGCATGCCTGAAGGATAAGGACGTGGCATTCCCTGATCAGGGGTGATGGTCTGCTATGGACCGAACTGTGTCCCCCCCAAAATTCACGTTGAAGCCCTAACCCCCAGTGTGAAGGTATTTGGAGATGGGGCCTTTGGGAGGTCCTTAGGTTAAATAGGACATAAGGGTGGGGCCCCATCATGGGATTAGAGCCCTTATGAGAGGAGACATCAGATCTCCCCTCCCATATATACTTACAACCCCTCCTCCCCCAGGGCTGCACAGAGAACAGGTCACATGAGCACACAGCAAGATGGTGGCTGCCTACAGAGCAAAACAGGCCTCAATAGGAAACCTGCCTTGCCGCACTTTGATCTTGGACTTCCAGCCCCCTGGGCCATGGGAAGTAAATGTCTATCATTTACCCCCCACCCTCAATCTCTGGTATTTTGGTGTTTTGTTTTGTTTTGTTTTGTTTTGTTTTTATTGTAGCCCAGACTGACTAAGCCAGGATCCATTGCAGCAGAAATTCTCCACATCAGGCAGGAACACATCAGGGTCTGGAGCGGGGCCCTGGTACCCTGGTCCTCCCTCTCCCACCAATGCCCAGCCTTCTCTGTCTGGACGACGGATTCTCAGAGGTGCCTTCTGGTCTTGCTTTCAAACATTCCTTCCCAGCCATCTCTTCCTCCCCCTTCCCCGGGGCTCCAGCACCTGCAGCAGGTCTGTAGCCATCTGTATACTCAACAGCTGAGCTCATAATCCTGGTTCCAGCCCTTTCCAGCCATGTGACCTGAAGCCACAGAGCCACCGAGCCTCAGTTTCCTTATCTGATAACATCTGATGAGGATTAATAAGCTAATGCAAAAGGAGCACTCCACACAGGGCTTGCAAGGCGTGCGTGCTGAACAACAGGTCATCATCATTGCTGCTATCCTGTTAAAGATCATCAGACGAGGAAGTAAGGGGCAGAATGAAGTGAAGACAGCTGGGAAGAGAAACAGGCTGGAAAGCAAATGGGGAGAGAGAGGGAGAGGGGGAGAGGGAGGGAGGGAGAGAGACAGAGAGAGAGAGAGAGAGAGAGAGAGAGAGAGAGAGAGAGAGCGGGGGAGAGAGAGAGAGGAGAACAAAGTTTTCTGGATCAGCAAGGTTGTGCATGGTGGGGCGGGGAGGCGGGGCTGAGGCAGAGAAGTTTAATTTGTCTTCTTCCACTCAGCTGTGCCAACAAAAAAGAAAATGAATCTGAGGAGCCCAGACAAAGCTGCCGGGATGCAATGCTGACACGCAGCTAGGTAAACGCGGCTGAGGCAGGCACGGGGCCCAGAGAAAATTATCTTTCTAACCACTACCTTGGTACCATAATCGCCTTCAAGAAGCAGCTCTGGCTCTTGGGGGAGGGGCTGCTGGAGAGCCACTTGGTTTGATTCCTTTAATCTTTTGACACCGCCTGTCAGAGGAGTGTGTAATTAGGACGCACTGTACCTCCCCAGCAGCCTGTGGTGCTCGTGCCTTGAAAGGTGAGAGCCGGTGCTGCCTGGGCCTCCAGAATGGGCTGGGCCCTTAATTGGCTTATTTGCTTCTCTTAGAGTCTGTCCTGTGTTCCTAGGGAGGAAGCTACTGCCTGGACCTCTGTGGGAACTGCATTTTTCAGAAGCCAACAGGGAAGTCCTCAGAGGCCTCCAGGGGACCAGGGACCCTGCCATGATGCTGTTTTTTTGGAGCCAGGTGGCAGGTAAATCCATCATCGGCCTGAATCCCCAGCTGGAGAACTGTCACCAGCCAGTGACATGAGAGTGCCCACCTGCTCCTAAGAGCTCTTCTTAAGCAGGTCATCCCTGAGCACACAGACCTGGCCGCGCACGTTTCTGAACTCCCATCCCAGATCCCTGCCACTTGCCATACACACACACACACACACACACACACACTTACATACACACATATATATATATATCGGGGTGCCAAAAAAATGTATACAAGTGGACACTTTGGTCAGCGTGGCTCAAGCAGTAGTTCGCCGTCATCAGAAGTGTCTGGACACTGATGGGACCCACTCTGAGCACCTCTTGTCATTGCCCAAGTCAAACGTGACTTGTATTCATCTTTAGTTATCGGTATATATTGAGTATTACAACTTTAATACAGTTTTCCTTTCTTAAAATGTGTATACATTTTTTTTGGAACCGTCTGTATGTGCATATGTATATACACATATTCCAACTCTGGAGACATGCCCCGCCCTCTCCCCCAGCACTAAGAGTGACGGTTTACTTACCAGTGAGGGAGGCAGGGGACAAGCTCCCTGTTTTCCATGCTGGGCTGGCCAAAGGAATGCAGCAGGGAGAGCTGGAGGATTTGGAAAGGGAGAAGAGATTTGAGGTGGGGAGGGTTGGAGGCGAATGTTTGCAGCAAGGAGGTGGAGAGAAACAGGCTTGTCCCTTTTGACTCTAAATGATGTGGGAATCGGTGACCGTGTGGACCCCGCAGCCCACACACTGGGGGTGTGTTCTCAAGCGGCGCATGGACCCAGCACCGGCTACCTCTACTTCTCCCTGGGACCCAAGCTGTCCTTCCTGTGTGAGGGAATCTGCCCCTCCGTCCAGCGGCGGTTGTAGGGGCCTGAGACGAGGGAAGTTATTTTTTCCTCCTCCACAGCCAGCCAGCCAGCATCCGCATAGCAGCCCCCAAGGTGATATAAGCTGCAGAGGAGGCCCTGTCTAATCATCCTGCTGGAGTACAGGCTCTGCATCAAAGTGTGGAGCCAACCAGAGCAGGGAGCGGGGCAGTGGAGGAGGAGGTCGCGTGTAGCAGGGACCCCCGCCCCATTCCTGGGTTTCCTCCTCACTCTGCTGGGCCTGGCAGGTGAGGGCATGGCCAGGAGAATAGGACGCCATATTAAGCATGTGAAGGATCCCGGAAGGCTGCTATTAAAGTGATGAACAGCACATGGCCGAGAGCCCACAAGCCAGTTCAGCTCCCGGCCGTGTGACCTTGGGCACATCCCTAGCTTCTCTATGCCTCTGCTTTCTCATCTGCACAATGGGACAATAATGGAATACTTGAATCATATCAAGGATCTTTGCAAGGACTAAAGAAGATAGTTAACTTAAAAGCTTGCCACACAGGGCAATATAATATAAGCTGTAGGGTTCGTTCAGCACCTTCTCATCAAGTCCCTGGACCCCAGGCAAGACAAATGCCCATGTAGTTTTAAGACCCTAAATTGTTCGATTGAAAGGTGCCTTCTCCGGGGCCTGCCGAGTGGCTCAGTTGGTTAAAAGTTGGCTTGGGGGCCGGCTGAGTGACGCGTTGGTTAAGAGCTGGTTTGGGACGCCAGAGGGCCCCGGTTCGGATCCCACATATGAGGGCCAGTGACACTGCCCTCTACAGCTAAGATGCTGAACAACAGCTCAACCTGGAGCTGGGCTGCCGTGAGTCGCCAGTGACAGCGTAGGCTGCAGCCCGTGCTGCAGTGGGTTGCCATGGACTATCGTGTGTAGCCAGCAGCCAGCGTGAGCGGCCAGCAGCCGCTGTGAGCGGCCGTCCAGAAGCCAGTGACTGATCTGCCTCAGCCGGGAAGAGTGCAATGATAATATCAACATGGGCCAGTGAAGCGACATCCTCCACAATTGACTGAAGAACAAAAGGACAGCAACTTGTTTGTTCCCCTCCCCCAATTCCCCAATAAAGAAATCTAAAACAAAAAGAAAGGCGCCTTCCTGGTCTTCTGGCCTAACCTTGTCCAGAACGTCCATCTTGGCTATCCAGGTCCCATTTCATTGCTCAACCCCCCAGAAAGGAAGGCTGGGCTTTACGCTGGCCTAACTGACATCATAGCCAGATGACCTAACTCCCCTCTCCTCCCCACCTCCAAGTAGCAGTGCTGGGCATTCCAGAAGCTGACCATGAGCTCTCTGGATCCTGCTCTTCAGGGCGTGGACTGTGGGCCTGCAGCGTGACCATCACCTGGGAGCTTGTGAGAGATGCAGACTCTCGGGCCCCACCCAGACCTGCTGAGCCAGAGCCTGCGTGTGAACCTGACCCCAGGTAAACGTGTGTACACCGAGTGTGAGAAGCGCTGCTCTACACCATCTGGGAGGCCGTGTGGTTCTCACCACCGTGTCAAGTCTCAGCGATGTGCCAGGAGGACGTGTGAGCAACCTGCGTGGGAACTATTATTAACAACAGCTACAGCATCAACATCTGCAAATAATGTCATTTTTCAAAAAAAAGGGAATTAGAGCTGATTCGTGGTTATTCCTATCGTGATGTCACCCTCACAGATGTGCCTTCTGATTTGCTTTTTTGAGAGGGACAGAATGACAGTCGTGACCCACACGCATCCCTGAGATGCCCACGGAAATGTGTCCCACGGGTGGACCCATTCATCAAGCGTCCTTTGGGAAGAGAAAAGGCGTAAGCCATGGACCCCAAACACCTCCCTTCCTGAAGCCACCAGATCCCAATATGTGATCAGTCACATGGTGTGCCCAAGGCAGCCATGTCACTGCTGAACGGCTCTCACTCCTAGAAAGTTCTTCCTTACCTTGGTCTGAAACATGACTCCCCCCAAACTCCCACCCATGGACCCTCATTCAGTCTTTGGTACCACACAGGACCAGCCCAGCTCTTCACTGATGTGATGTCTGTATTTGGCTCTAGGCGTTCCTTGGCTTATGGGTGCATCACCCCAACCTCTGCCTCCATCTTCACGTGGCCTCCCTCTCTGTGTCTGAGTCTCAAAATGCCTCTCCAACTTTCTCTTATGACACCTCTCATTGGATTTAGGGCCCACCCTGAGTCCAGGATAATCTTATTTTTGAGACCCTTAATTTAATTACATCTTCAAAGACCCTTTTCCAAATAAGGTCATATTCACAGATTCGGACAGTTAGGATGTGGACAAATCTTTTGGGGACCACCATTCAAGCCATTATGACATCCATTCAAATATTTAAAGGTAGGCTCTTAATGGGCCTGCTCTTCCCCAGGTAGAGCCAAATTCCAGCCAGCATCCTTATAACAAGTCTTTAGCATGACCTGCCTGAAGCCTGACTGAGCCCCACTGGACATGAGCAGAGGTTGGTCCTCTGGGCAGATGAGTTGATCGATTTTAACCTATTTGGGTAGGGGGACATATGGTGGGCTGTGGGTGGCATTTGGGCAGAGCACTTGAAAAAGAAGCCTCCTGAAGGCAGGGCCAGAACTAGGGAGAGGCAAGTGAGGCACTCAGGACAAAAACTTTAAGGTGCCCTCCTTCACAGGCTCATGCAGTTGCAGGGTGGGCACCTGAGAGTGAGCACCACCTTAAATTTGTACACTGGCTGCCTCTCCTTCACCCTCGTCCTGGCCCTGCCCTAAGGAAGCCAGCCTGGGAGATCTCTGTGCTCCCTCTCTTGAGAAGTGTTCCAGAACTGAGGCACAGACATGGGGGAGCTGCCTGGGAAAGTGAGGGGGAGAGCCCACACAGCTGCTGAGGTGCTCCCCACAGCTTCCCCACCAGGTTGCTAGGTGTCACAGCCCCTATACCTGCCAGTGCAGTCAGAGAGGGTTCTGGGAAGAGGAAACGGTGCAAGGCGGAGCCTTCCTTTCTCTGAGGGTCAGAGCCACTGCCTCTGATTCACAAACGCATCATAGTTCGTTCGTGTGGACAATGCCTCTGATGCTGGGTGGTGTGCAGGCTCCGTGGGTGTGGGAGGTATTGCGCACAGCACATGAGCCTCTGCCATCTCCTGCATGGACCTCCAATTGTAAGTCCTTCCGAGGCTGAGGTTGAGTTTCACCCAGCGTGGTGCCCTCCAGCCTCCTGCAGCCATACCTGGGGGCCAGTCACTGGCAGGTTTCCTATCCTTCCTCCTTCTTGCTAACCCTCCTGGGCTCTAATATCAACTGTCATTTGTACAGTTCTTGTGCAGTTTGCAAAGCACTTTTTACATCCCCTTTAATTGGTCCTTCACAATGACCTTCACATCATCCCCATTTACCAAGGACAACGCCTGAGGCTCAGAGAACACATAAGCTGCCCCAGGCTCCACAGCTCAGAGCTGGGGTTCAGGCCTGGAATGCAGCCCATTTCTCCAAGTGACTGCTGCTCCTCATGTGCCAAGAACCTTGGACTAAGCGTCCGGCAGGGGTGCCCAGTGAGTGTGTGTGTGTGTGGGGGGGGGGGGGGGGTAGGTGGAGGTGGCAACAGGACTCCGGGAACTTTGCCCAGGTACCTATGGTCACCTCTTCTGACCAAGTAGCAGAATCGATGCAAACCAGGCCCTCTCAGCCAGGCAGGAAGGGGGTTTGCCTGGTTGTGGAAACTTGCCAAGGGGCCCCGAGGAGACAAATAGCAGGTACTCAGGCCAGGATGGGCCAGGAGAAAGCAATCAGCTGGTTTCCCGGTGCTGCTGAACCAGCCATCACCTTCTGCGGTGGAGCAACCGTTCCGTTTCACAAGCAGTCAGCTCCTACCGGAATTGCTCATTCCTGGAGAACGCTTGCCAATGGGCCCCTGTTTCTCAGCTGCCACTGAGTGGGGCTGGCATTGCTCGGTGCTCCGTGTCCCACCCATTCTATCCTGATCCAGTCCATAAACAGTCAAGGATTCTGCGACTCACTCCCCCTGGTTGACTCCCAGCTCTAAGGGGCCGGGGTCTAGAGCATCGGGCAAGACCAGCTTATCCAAAACCACTCGGGAAGCTCCAAGGACTGGCTCTCCATCCAAGCTGGCAAAGTGAGCGTGGGCCCCAGCTGATGCCCAGACTCGTCAGGATAAATGCCACCCGTGGGTGCGTGCTCAGGCTTCAGGGCGGCAGGGTCATCTGAGCTGTCCTGCAGTGACGCTTGCTTCTGCTGCCAGCTATAGCAGCGTCCGTGTCAGGGTGCAGGGAACCCATCTACCACTGGTCTTCCGGCCTGGTT